GGGGGGGGGCTCCTAGCCGGTCTCTGCCCCCGGCTGTGTGCCCAGCAGGGCACAGCACTAGTGCTCAGCACCCCAACGGGGCAGGACCCACCTCCCGGAACGGCAGCACGGAGCTGCCGTCTGCTGGAGGCTTCCCGTGCGGCCTGGGGAGCCACAGCTTATCCGGGAAACTGTGGGACCCACAGGCTCCCTGGGGACCGTCCTAGCCTCTTGCCACCCAGGGGGCCTCGCACGCCGCTGAGCGCTGCGGGCCGAGTATTTAGGGGGCATCAGTCAGAAGCATCACCGTCCACACTGCGCTCACTCTGGGACAGCTGAGGACCAGACCCGAGGGGATGTAGGCAAGCGCCCCCCCCAGTGTCACTCAGATCCTCCCGCGCAAACCGCAGAGAAATGACGGTTCCTGATCACGCCTCGCTCCGAGAGTCACTTCTACGATAACAGCGTTCTGTCCTTTGAGTGGAAGGATTTTGCTCTGATCAGACAGGAAGCCTGTAACCCAGTGGCTGATGGGTAAAGGCGCCTAAATGAGAAGACCTGTCCGCCCCTCAGAAGCCTCGGTGACGTGGCAGCTGGTGGCCTCTCCTCAAGAAAGAGCCACATCCGAGGAGGAAGGAAATTGGTAAGGTGCATATGAGCAGAGCACATGGAACAGTGGTGAAGGTGGATTTGGGAATGTTCTAGCAAAGGCAGTCCACTGGGTGGGGCAGCTTCCTAGACCCCGCTGCCGCCCCCCCCCCAGAAACCGTGGTGCTTAAGAAGCACAGGGCAACCGTATCTCCACTTCACAATTCAAACCTTCCTGCCAGCGTGGGACATAAATACTTCAAGCCTCACACGCAGACTAGCTGATCCGCCAGCGTAGTTAGAGCAGAGTATCGGACACGACCCCACCACCAGTGTGGAAGAGGAAACCCGTCCGGCGCTGCTGAACACCGCCGGTTCCTGTAGCTCCGGCCCCAGAGGCCTCCCTTCCACAGGCTGCGCCCCCGTCTCCCCGGCTGCCACCTGGCCGTCCTCGGCGCCGCCACGGGCAACCAGCGCTGCCGCCGCTCCCCTCCCCCTCCTCCCCTGCAAGTCCTTCCCAGCCTCCCCTCCCACAAACCGGGAGCCCTGTCACACACACCGACCTGGTCCCCTCCACGCTGCGCAGTGCTGGCTGGTGTCATCCGTGTCTCCCCACATTCCAGAAAGTTCCACAGGGGTAGCGACGGGACCTGCTCTGTTCAGCTGTGCCCCAGTGCCTGAGCAGAGGGAGCGAGTGAGCGCATGAGAAGTGGCTGAGGCCCTCCTAAAACAGGAGCTTCGGGGAACCACAGCCCGGAGCCGTCCCTAGCCCTTGGCCTGTTTTTATACACCTATGAGCCAGGAATGGTCTTTACACCTTTAAATGGTTGGGGGGGGGGGGGAGGGGAAAGACGGAAAGAACAATATGTTGTGACATGTGAAAATCACACGAAACTCAAATCTCAGTCCATAAATAAGAACGAAAGAAACGCTGCTACGCTCACTTTATGGTCCTTTCTGTCCTGTGAGAGCGGAGTGGTCACAAGGGGGGTACTGCCGCAAGACCTAAAGTATTTACTACACGGCCTTTTCCTCAAAACCTTCCCCCCTCCCCCCCGGCTGTCCCAGTGACCTCGGAGTCCAGCCACGGACATGACACGCAAGAGACTGCCAATCAGGGCCGCCTGTAATCTGGGTGAGGCTCTCTGAAGAGCTGATGCCAGCTGTATTCAGCAGGTGCTCACTGCGCGCCACGATCCAAGTGTCTGTCAACACACCTGAGGGTCTGGCTCACCCTTCTGGAGGGCTGAAGCACACCCCAAATCCAGAACATGACCCACTTCTATGCTTTCATTCCACCGACGTCTGCCTGGGCACTTTCTCTGCGGGCACCGTCCACAAGGTAAGGACACAAACGTCGAGAAATGGGCCACACCATGGGCGGTGGGTCAGAGCTTACTAACTGGGAAGCCACAACAAACCCGTGAGAAGTTATCTCTTGATAAAAGAGCTACATGACCCCTTAAGGCTCCTGAGTGGAGCCCTAGGAACAGCCTAGCAGAACCACTCCACCCAGAAGGCCGGTTCAGCGTCTCCGTTCTGTGTGGGACACACCAGGGTCCCCTGAGCTGCCACACGTCTGTCATTAAGCTGTCAGCAGTTTCAACACCAGAGAAACGTGCATCCTCCCCACAAAAGCAGGTTAAGAATAAGAAGGCACGACCGTGCAGTTACATGTGATTCAGAAACCAACACCATGTCCATACGAGCCCCAAGTGGCTCCAAGCAAGGGGCCCCGGGAGGGGAATTCATCTGCTGACCATCTGATGACGCCCTGTGCTCCCCAGACTGCAGAGACCTGGCGGGGGTGGGGGGTTCCTGCTCTGCTTCACCCATCGTCAGTCCGCCCTGTGCGCCAGCTCACGCCACAGCTGTCCCCTGCCCTGGTGAGAAGCCTCCAGCACACCACACTCCCCTGTCCCGGAAGCATCGGCCTCTGCCTGACCACGTACCGACTTCAAAGACAACGTGTTTTTTACTGCATGAAAAAGGCAGAAATGAAATGAAGTAAAGGGAAAACCACACCTTATCTAATCCAAAACCGCTGGTATTGAGAGTCAAGAAACAGATAACACAATGAGATACTCTGCATTTTGAACACGCAACTACTCCCAGAGTCTCTGCTTTCAAAGAGGGCCTGAGTCTAGCTTCCAATCTCAGGCAAATCACAGCCACTCTCTGGCCTCCATTCCCCGTAAAATCAGGCCCTGGACCAGATCCCTGAATTCAGGAACAGAGAAGCTTAGCAAGAAATTCCAGTATCAGCTTTCATTAAGAGTCAAGCAGTAAAACATTTTGAAAAAAGCAGCGAAACCACAGCTTTGCCCGAGAGGGCCGAAAGATGCTTGAAAACAAGAAACACATGATAGTGCGGTAAGCAAACTGCTGATTTTTCTTTTCCTTTTTAGCTCATCTGTCAAAAGAAATGGTATCTGTAAAATGACTCCCGACCAGCTGAGGCCTGCACAGGGCTTACTGCTCACTAGCATGAGACTCCCCGCTGCGAGTCAGAGGCTCCCCAAGGCCGAGGACCCCGAAAGGTGGGGAGGAAGATAAATTATTAATTTCCACTTTTACCACCACAGAAGTTTTATGCCCGCGGCTCCGAAGTATCACTGTACACGAAGATTCCTCCTCCTCAAAGCGAGCCCCTGCTCTGGAGCCCAGCCCCGCCTGTGTCTGCTCCCACTGGGTTTGTAAGGCAGACCCTCCGCTTTACGGACTCTTGCAGTCGGTGACCCACACGAACTCGGCGTGAAAACTGATTTCCTGCTTAAAGTATTCCGAATGCACACGAAGATGGACAGAACACCATAAAAAACATGGTGCACCCACCACCCAGTCTTAGAATAAACACTGCAGCTGATAAACTCTTCCGAAGTGGTAAACGCCATCCTGAGCCCGGGGCGCATCCCCGCCCGCGGCGGCGCCCCAGTCACCACACAACCTGCGTGACCTGTTTAACCTCTCCGTAAATGGTACCGTCTGTATGCGACCATTCTCTAACCTTTTCTTGCTCAACTTCACCAGAGTCATTCACGTCCGCGGATATTTATGTTCACTGCTGCGTAATAGTCCATTACGTGACTACACCACGTATTTGGCCACGGATACTACTTGTGTCGCGTGGCTGCCACGTGGAGCCCGTTCTGCGACAGCCTGCGCCGCGTTTCCTGAACGCTCACGACCCCCTGAGGAAGGGGGGATTCCCATGGGCCGGAGAGGACACGGGGACAGACGGCCGGTGTCAGCGCCCCGCACAAGCCAGCCGCCGACCCAGGCAAGCTGGGGACCAGGCAGCTCTCCCGCCACAGCCTTCAGGCTCGGCCTCAAAGCCCCGCTCGGGGGCATCCCTCCCTTATTCGCATTCTTCTAAATGGAAAACCTCAGAGAGGACTCGAAAGTCAGGAGACCATCTGAAACAGGATGCTCTGTTTTCTTCCTCAACAAACAATCCCGCGGGAAACGCATCTGCGGCAGGGCTGCCCCCGCGCCGAGGACAGCCCTTCTCTGGCACAAGTCCGGGTGCTCCTGGAGTCGTTCCCAAGTTTACACAAACGGTTTCTAAGTCAGGCTGAGCTGAACCGCAGCCCTGCCTGGCTCCCTCTGGAGGAACAGGCCGTCGGCACCCGCTGGGAGGCAGCGTGGAAGGGCCTGGAAGAACCCGGGACGCAGAGCCCGCTCGACCGGCAACAGCTGAGCCGCGGCGGCCCTGCGCACGGCCGGCCCCGGCTCCAGCTGCTGCCGCCCGGCTCGGCGGCCCCGCGGCAGCTGTGCGCCCGCCAGGCCCGCACGGCCAGGCCCGCCCCGCGACACGGAAGGCGGCGGCGGGGTGCGGGCTTCAGCAGGACCCCCGGAGCCTGGGGGACCCCGAGGCCGGGGAGGCAGGATTAAGGAAGCCTCACTTGGGCGGACCCGGTTCCAGCGCCCCCTTCCCACCCCTCCCCGGAAAGGCTCCGCCGCTTTCGCGCTGTGCGACCTGGCGGAGCGCCCCTGCCCACCGAGGGGCCGCGGCGACCGACCTGTAAGGGCCCCGCGCGAGGGCAACCGGCGGGTCCCACTCAGCCCCACGCCCCACGAGGGAGACGCACCGTTACCCCCACGTTACAGACGAGGCAACGGGGGCGCAAAAGGGGTCGTAACCGAGGCCGGTCAAGAAGCCTGCGGTCACGAACGGCCAGGAGGGCGCGGGGAGCCCCGGAGACAGGCGTGGGCACCGCGCAGCCCGCAGCCCCAAGCGCGGGTCCGCGGGTTCCCGGGGCGGGCGGGGGGGGCCGGGGACGCCAGGGAGGGGCGGGGGCGGGCCGGGGGTGCCGGAGGGGCGAAGGCGCCAGGGAGGGGCGAGGGCGCCAGGGAGGGCCGGGGGCGGGCCGGGGCGCCGGAGGGGCGAGGGCGCCAGGGAGGGCCGGGGGCGGGCCGGGGCGCGCTCCCACCTTGAGCACCGTGACGGCGCCCGCGCTGTGCACCTGGAAGTGCGCGGGCGGCTCGGCGCCGGGCTCGGCCGCGTCGTCGGGGCCCTCGTAGCTGAAGCAGGCGTCCGCGATGTCCAGGTGGCCGAGGGGCAGCGCGTCCTGCGGGCTCTTGAAGTAGTAGAGGTAGCAGCGGCGCGCGTCGAACACGAACCAGCGGCTGCGGTAGCCGCGCAGCGGGCCCTTGCCCGACAGCTTCTGCAGGTAGCCGCACAGCCGCGCCGGCTCCCGCCCCGGCCCCGGCCCCGGCCCCGCCGCCGCGCCCTCCCGCTCCTCCTCCTCCGCCCGCGCCCCGGGCCGCGGCATCGCCGCCCCGCCGCCGCCGCCGCCGCCCCGGCTTCGCGCGCCCCCGTCCGCGCGCCCCCGCGCCACCCCCGCGCGCCGCGCCCCGCCCCGCCGCTGCGCACGGCCCGCGGGCGCGCGAGGCAGCCCGGGAATTGTAGTTCGCCGCCCCCGCCGCCCCCGCCCTGCCGGGAGCCCGCGTTCTGCGCGGAGGCGCGGGGGTCGCGGTACCCGCCCCGGGCCGTCGGTGCGCGCCAGCCGCCTGGGGCCCGAAGCACCTGCGGGAGGGGCCGGGGGGAGGGGCAGCGGCCCCGGAGGGCGGGGCGGCCCGGCGGAGGCCGAGACCCCGCAGACGGCCGGGCGCAGCCGGAGGGGAGGAAGCGCCAGAAAGGAGAGGCCCTGCTGGTGGCGGCAGCGTGGACCCCGGGCCCTGGTGTGCAAACTGGAAAACGAACACGCGTCTTCGGTGCAGAGAGGAATCTGGCACACCCCTGGGGGGCGGGGGTCCAGGCCTCCAGGTGCAGCTCGGGGAACCGTCGGTGCTTGTGCAGCAGCGACCCCGACCGGGTCACTGTCGCGCATCTGAGACCAGCGGGGCGCCTGTGTCAAGTGCACTTCCGTTGAAAGACAGAGGAGGGGAACAGCCGAGTTTGCGAAAGGGTCAAATCAAAGCAAACAGGGCGCCTTCTTCCGTGTGCTTTTGCACAGGTCGGTCCCCAGGCGCAGTAAAAGCTGGACGGCTTAGCTTTCCGAGATGGACCGGGCAGCACCGGTTCCCGAGGGGGGGCTCCCGCTCAGCCAGCCCCTAGAAGCCCCCAGGACCTGGCTGGCGCGGCTCGCCTTCGCCCGTGGGTTCTCTTTGAGCCCACCAAGTGTTGAGGGTGATTTCTGGAGCCAGAATGATGGGATCCCACCTTACAGCTCTGCCACGAACCGGAGGTGTCACCTTGGGCAACTTAACCTCTTGAGCCTCAGCCTCTTCATCCACAGAATGGCAATTTATTACAGCTCATACGACGTCCTTGTGAGGGTTACAGGAGAAATGCGTGTCAGAGTGCTCAGCGCGTGTCTAGCACATAGCAGGCCCTCCGTAGGTACCCGCTGTCGTTGCTATTGCCGAACAGTGAATACGGCTGCCCTGAGTCAGCAGCATCTGTGAGGCCAGCCCCCCATGGGGGAGGCCAGAGAGCAGGAGTGGGGTGGGTCACCCTGCCGAGTCGGGAATCCAAGTCCATCTGGGCCTCGCCCTGAGGGTGAGGGGGGCAGTGACTAATGGGCATGCGGGGTGACCGGGGAATCCTATGGAAAGGGGAACAGCTGGGAGCGCTGGATCCCCGTGGCTGCAGCAGGCACAGGGAAGAGAGGGGACAGCCGTTGTCCTCAGTTCTGTGGGCCGGGTGTGCAAATGGGGGGGTGCCCATGGCCTGTGGCCCACCTTGCTGAGCGTGGGGAAGGCCCCCTCCCAGGCACAGGGCGGCGCCCCCAGCCAGCCAGACCACGCTGGACCGGGACAGCTTCTGTGGCTTCTGTGGCTCCTTGGCTGTCGTCCGTGCTTCTCAGCGGGCAAGCTGGGCCCCGAGCCCGACCGTCCTGCGCCGGGGCCTCCACTCCGTCCTGCGTCGCCCGTGGGGGCCAGTGGCGCCATGTTAGCTGGCCTGCAGGCCCCGGGCCCGGGCCCGCTCCCTGCGCGGGGCCACAGCCCGCACCACAGTGAACATGTCCAAATGCCCCACGTCCTATAGTAAACTTTGCTCTAAAAACGTTTGAAGGAATTTTTATAAGCATGATCTTGATATTATCTGACTGTGAGGAATTCATTTTAATTTATGTTTGGCTGACAATTTCCTGGCACTCCTCATGTCTGTGTGGGAACCCTGACTGAGTAAGAGAAGTCCAGCCCACACAGTTCTCAAAGGGGGTGACATTTTTTAAAGTTTATTTTTAAGTCATCTCTACACCCAACAGGGGCTCAGACCCACGACCCCCAAGGTCGACAGCGGCTCCACCGGCTGAGCCGGCCAGCACCCAGGGGTGACGTTTTTATGATTACTATGGTGTTGACATAAGGTCACACTTTGAGGACATCTAATTAAGTGTTTATGTAGATTTCGTGCTTCTTCTTGGGTTCTGGAGCCCGGGTACATTGGCCTTAGGCTACAGACAGTCCGTGGGCCCCGGGAAAGCCGGCGGAGCTGAGCTCTGGGCCTACAGTCTAGGGCGTGAGCCGCCCTGGCCAGGCGCGGAATGCGGCCCTCTGTGCGGAGCGCTCAGCCTCCCCCTGAGCCCCGGTGACAGGCCCTGTGGCCACAGCACCTCAGCAGAGTCCCTGTGGAAGTGGCCGGAGCCTCCAGGCCCCCCCCCCAGCACCTATCGCCTCCCCCACCTCCCCCAGGCCCTGCGCACTCTCTCACGGCGCCTGCTCCGCGAGGCTGGTTTTCCACCGACCCCGCACTGAGTCAGGCCTCCGGAGGGCCCTGAACTGAGCTGCAGGGTGGAGCCTGTCGTGTCCTGCAGCGCCGCCCCTCCCTCCCCTGCCGTTTTTTTACAGTTTATGTAAAATGCTGAACCAGACCCTCCCCCCACAGGGCCTCCCACAAGGAGACTCTGGGGCCAGTTCCTTTCTTTTCTAACCAGCCCCCCCACCCAACCTCCCCCCTTGCTGGTGGCTCCTGATTTCTCCCTGGGACCCCTTCTTGGAATGGACATTTTGCAGTTGGCCAAATCTCTGAGACTACGCGTCGAGGTCCTGTGGTCAGGGGGCGGCTTGTGCAGCCTGCACACCTCCCCTGTGTCCGGGACGGGCGTGCTTGGTGCCAGAGGCCCTCTCGGAGCCCGGTGGCCAGGAGGAAGTGGCCGCTGTTTACTGGAAAGGGGAAATTTGGGCAGTGAACTTGCGCCCACATGGCCAGCCTCTGGGCAAGCCCCGGGGGAGCACACAGCCAGTGGTTCATCCTGGGCCAGTTTCCCTGGAGAGGGATGGGGTGGGAGGCCCAGCCGCGCACGGCCTCTGTGCGTGTCACACCGCAGGGACGCCAGCCACAGGAGGGGCTCGCGGTCCCGCGGGGAGAGGAAGTAGGCCGCACCACCTGAGACGCGTGTCCTTAGACCGTCAGTGCCCTCCCAGCGCCGCGGGGAACGGGTGGCGAGGTGACCTCGGGGACCCGCCCTGGTGCTAGGAAGCCTATCAGTGGCCCGAGGCACAGCCGCGAGGCCTGTGGTCCTTCCTCCCGCAGCTCCCCCGCCCAAAGGCTCCAGTGGGGCACTCCTGTCCCTGAGGCGGAGAGCGCAGAGGTGGCTCTATGGTTTGGAGGCTGGGGACACCAGCCTAACCCCAGAGCGTGTCCGGAGGAAGCTGGCGCTCAGGGGCCGGGGGGCGGTGCCGGAGAGGGAGCAGGAAGAACAGCGCAGGCCTCAGAGCGGAGGCTGCGGTGACCGGTGAACACCCCCGTCCACACCCCCAAGGGAGACCGCCGCGTGGGGGGAAGGGCTGTCCACACGCTCCCACTAGGCCCTGTGCCTCCTGCCCTGAGAGGGCCAGTGGGAGGGGGCCAAAGTAAGAGAGGGGCTGTGTGACTCTGGGCGGATCGCCCGCCGCCCTGGGCCTCGCTTTCCTCATCTGCAGAATGGGGCCAGCAGTGGCATTCCCTCCTAGAGCTGTCGCACAGCTGAAGCTAACAAACGTGGAGTACTGGGCACAGTGCCCCATCCTCAGTGAGGCCCCAGAGTGCTGGCTAATCCAACACATCCCGGGCCAGGCTCCCTGCCTCCGCCTCCCGCGGGGACTGCTGACTCTCCGGAGGGCCTGGGCCTGGTCTCCTGCGGCGGCAGGAAGGGCTCTGGGCGGCGGGGTGGGGGGGGGGGCTGCAGAGCGGGAGCACCACCAGGGGCCCCCTCAGCCTGGATCTGCAGACTCTGCCTTCAGGAGGCCTCATTTCCCTACCAAATGCGCAGGCAAATCTCCACACCTGGCGGGTCCCTTCCCTAGAGAGCAGGCACCTGGGGTGCTGGCCCTCTCCCGGCCCGGGGGGGGGGGGGGGGAGGGCTCCGACAGGCCTGGGAGCCCATGGAGGGCAGAGGGTGGGCGGGGGCTGGGGGCAGCGTGCCGGAGGTAGAGGGAGTCACACTGCCCAGGGAGCAGGTGAGGCCTGGACCCCGGGGAGCAGAGGCCCTGGGTCCTTCCTGTTCCCTGTCCTGCTCCTCACTCAGCCTGGCTCTGTGCTCAGGACCCCGGCCCACCTGCCTGCAGGGCTCCTCTCCCCAGGCTCCCTGCCCTCAGCTTCCAGCCCCTCCGCACACAACCTCTAGGTACCGAATTCTCTGCCTGCGAGGCCGCCTGGGCGGTGGGGGCGTTGCAGCTGACCGCGGGGAGGGGCTGTCCCAACAGAGTTCAGGCCCCACCTTGGTTCGGGGAAGGGGTTTCCAAAAGGAAAGAGGTGCTGACACAGAGGAGCCCGGAGCTGGGAGGGAGCCCCCTAAAGGCAGCGGGGATGTAATAGTGGGCAGTGAGGAGACCCCGAAAGAGCCCATTTGGAGTCTGTTTAGAGTCTCGTTTGTCTTTTGAAGTTTGAATATATTGGCTAGATATCTGTTAATTTTGACTTGATGCCTTGTTGAGGCGCACACAGCATCTGAGTTGCAGGGAAAGGGGCACTGGGCGGGGGCGGGGCGGGGGCAAAGGTCGAGGGCGGGCAGGCAGGTGCGTGTCTCTGTCTCTGGTCCCTGGTCAGTCTCCTGTCTTCGCAGTGGGGACGGCTGCGGGCTCCGCTGCCCCAGCTGCGGGGGAGGGGGCATGTTCCCTGTGCCAGGCCCCAGGGCAGCCGTCTGGCCTCCGAGGAGACTATACAGCAAGGGCTCTACACATGTGGCCTTAGGGCCCCTCGCCGGCCCCTCGCTGGCTGTCCCTTCCTCGGGCCTCACAAGCACACGGCACACAATCCTACAGATTTTCATTTTCATGCGGGGCTCACCTTCGCTGGTGAGGCCACATGGTCTATAGAGAAGTTAACTTGTCCCTGCCGCGAAACCTGAGAGGTCGCCAACGGGGAAAACCACTGGTGTGATGGGGGTTCCCCTCCCTCTGGGCGGTCAGGAGCCCACGGGCCCAGAGCAGCGGCTCAGGGAGCGGGTGCGCCGGCCGAGCCCTGGGACCGCGGAAGGCCGGGGCGCTCTGTGGACTCCTCATATCACTTCGTATCGATCGTACGAGTTTGTACCCACAGTCACACTATACGTGATAAACTGTGTAAACACATACACATATTTCTTTTGCTCTGAGCTTTTGGGAAAATATTATGTTTGTGAATTTGCTTTGGAACTATCTGGCTTTGAGAAGTCATTGAACTGAGACCGGTGATCACGCGTGGCAGTTTTCCCGCACGCTCGGGGACTCCGGTGGGATCAGGCAGTCTGACCCCCAGCCATGATCGGGCGCGACGAACCTTCCGTGAATACTCGCTATCGCACAGACATTTACTCACACACCTATTCATTGTGACTTTACGACTTGCGCTCGGGATTTTGGAGCCAGTACCGTTTCCGGGTGGAGGCGTTTCCTCGTTCGGGTCACAGACGTTTTGCTGTGGGCACAACCGAGCTGCCCGCCTGGGGCGGGAGGGTGGCTGGAAGGCCGTCTCTGGGCCCCTCCCTCCGCCCCAGCAGCTGTGCAGAAACAAGTTTGCTCAGTGGCACCGAGGGCTGAAAAGACTCCCAGTGACACCGGTGACCGACCCGTGTCAGCCCCTCCCCCAGTTTTCCTTGCAAGTGGACGGCCTGCAATGACTGAGCTTCAAAATATGATCCGTTCCTCTACCCATTCATTCACTGTACCGAGCATGAATGAGAACAGCCCTCAAAGAAGGCAAGTTGGCAACATCTGTCAGGATTCCCAGTTAACCACCCCCTGAACGGCGGGCCCCCTGGAGGGAAGGCGCCCGTGGGTGTGCTCGCTGATGTGCGCTGTCAAGTCCGTGCTGGGACCAGGAGGGCCTCAGAAACCACGCAGATGGCCTCCCGTGGGGCCGGCTGCAGAGCTTGCGGTGCGAGGAGGCCGTGGCGGTGGCCCGGGCAGAGGGGTGGCGTGTCTGCGAGTCCACTCCTGAGCGAGCTCCCCGGCACAGAGTTAACGTGCTTACACAGCAACTCCCTGGGCGTGCACAGAGCACCATGTAGACCCTGCCCTGTATGTAGGAAGGGGGATGTGCGAAGACATGCGTGGGCCTGGCCAGGCACCGAGAAACCCAGGAGGGCGGTCAGGGAGGGTGGTGCCTGGGGGCTTAGGGGGGCCTGGGCCCAACGGTATTTAATGCTTGGGGGGAAGTATTTTTATGGGTACTTGTTTACGTATTTTAAAAAATTGTATTTAAAATTTTTTTGAAGGTTTATTCATTTCTCAGAAGCAGAGGGAGACAGAGCGTGAGCAGGGGAGGGCCAGAGGAGAGGAGACACAGACTCCGAAGCAGCTCCGGGCTCCGAGCTGTCAGCACAGAGCCCGACGCGGGGCTCGAACCCACAGACAGTGAGATCGTGACCTGAGTCGGAGTCGGACACTTATAACTGAGCCACCAGGCACTCCAACTTTTTAATATGTTTTCATTTCTTAAAGCCACGTGGGTGTAGCATACCACTGAATAATAAGTTAAACGATGCCTATTGAGCATCTCACTACAGCAAGCACCCTTCTCGGCACAGAAGAGTGTGGAGAATGAGGCGGACAATTTGAGAAGAAGGAAATTGTTCTGTCTGCTCTGCACCCCCTCACGTGAGGGAGCAAATCCACACCCGCTGCCGGGATAACGGAGGGTGTGAAAACACAGCGTCCACGAATGGCCACGCGCGTGGCTAGGATGCACTGAAAAGGCCACGTTGGCACCTGGTTCCCGCTACGTGGACTCCGGGAGGGTTGGTGTGGGGCCCTCGGCAGACGTGGGCGTGGCCTCCCAGGAGGGCGAGCCAGAGTCCCCGCAGGCAGGACTCACCTCCTGAATGGGAGCATCCCTGGTCCTGGAGGCGGAGCATGATGGGGGGGGGCAGCACGGGGAGGCCTTGGTCAGACAGGCAGCCCGGCTTCTGAGGACTTCCCAGCCGACATGCACGGGTGCCTCCCTGCCGTCCCGTCACCGGGATCAGCTTCTGAGTCCCCGAACCCTGCTGGGGGGCTTCTCCCCTCCGTTTCATTGATGGAAACCCTGAGACGGGAGAGGTTAAGCCCCCACCTCAAAGCCGCAAAGCCAGCAAACGGGGGGGGGGGGGGGGGGGGGGGGCAGGGTCCAAGCTCTGTCAGTCTGACTCTAGAGCCTGTGCCCTCAGGCACCCTGGGGAGGAGGACTCCAAGGGGCAGGGCCACGCCAGGGTCACCTCTGTGCCCGGCCCTGCCCGTAGGTAATGGGCGGGGTGGGCGGGGCGCAAGGCTGAGCAGTGGGGTACGAAGCCCTGTCAGAGACCACCCACCCCAGGCCTTCAGGGGGCTCCTGATGCCCCCAAACCTGGGCCGCTTCCGCCCTGGGCCCAGGCTTCCCCGAGCACAGACGCAGACTCCGGCCAGGGGACTCCTCACCCTGGCCCCTCAGCACAGACCGCCTTTGTCTTCTCATGCAAACGACCAGGTTCTGCTCACAACAGTGTCCTGCCTGAAGGGGGGGAGGAGAACCTCATGGAAAATTATAGAAACATATTTCTTTGCATTTGAATACTTCCAGGAAAGTGGCAAACCCCAGCTTCCTTCAGCTTTTCTGAGCCCTGGGCCCCTTTGGTGTCTGCTGAAGCCCATGGACTTCGCAGAAAAGTGTTTTTAAAAACACATAATAGGGGCGCCTGGGTGGCTCAGTCGGTTAAGCACCCGACATCGGCTTAGGTCATGATCTCGTGGTTTGTGGGTTTGAGCCCCACGTCGGGCTCTGTGCTGACAGCTAAGAGCCTGGAGCCTGTTTCAGATTCTGTGTCTCCTTCTCTCTCTCTCTGACCCTCCCCCGCTCATGCTCTGTCTCTCTCTCTCTCTTAAAAATAAAAATAAACTCTAAAAACTTTTAAAATATATATACATAATGAGATACGTAGCATTACAGTGGAAATCAGTTACACCAGAGTCGGACTATCAAAGTATCTGTGATGCGATAACACGAGCGGGTTGAGTAACCAGCACTGGCCTTGGGTCTCACTACTGTCATCCTGACGTAATGATGAGGAAAATCCAGTATCTCAAGATGTCTGCAGTAGCTGGAATGTGACATGAAAATGTCTTGTCATTTCTGTTGGTGACAAAGTCACAGGTGATGTGAACACTAATGAGGCTTCTCCTCTGTTCTCTTCATGGGAGTCACTGCTGAATTTCAGCTAGAGATTAGGGAAAGTAAAGACATAATCCACACACTGCCGACCCCCCCCCCCCCCCCCCCCCCCCCCCCCCCCCGTTTAGAAAGCTTTAGTCCTTGGGGTTTCCGTTCTGAGCCCAGGACTCTCCAGGATTATACGTGTGGCTGGAAGACCGGTGAGGAAGCAGCCGCAGGCCTGCATCGTCCTGGAGCCCCTGGGGCTGCTCGCTGTGAAGGCTGGAAGTTAACTGTGCAGGCGACGTTCCCAGTAGGGGACCCCCCCCCCGAAGCACTTAGTGGGGCTGGTGCGCCCGTCCCTGTGTGGAGGCGACGGTCGGCCTGACACCCTTTTTGTGGACGTGGACAGGGAGACTCAGAGACGGGGGGTGAGCCTCACGCCCAGTGCATCACAGAGCCGCCGAGGCTTTAGACCTTGACTTTGTAGGTCTAAACCTCGTGTAGAGCCGTTTCGGAGCCGTCAGGTCGGGGCCTGCTCACGGTCAAGGTAACAGCCGGTGTCGTCTCTTCCCAGACTCCCAGGACCTCGCGGGACCTGGCTCAGCCGCTCCGGCCATGGGAGCGTCGTCCCGGCTGCAGAGAGAGACGCTGAAGCCCGGGGGGGCCCGTCCCTTGCGCAGAGCCCCACGGCCAGAGCCGGAGCCCAGGACCGGGGCTGCCGTGTGGACCGCAGACAGGGGCGCCCAGGCCCGGGTGCTGGGCTCCGGGAGCCGCAGGGGACACGTTTCTCTCTCGAAGCCCAGACCCGGAGACAGGAGCCCCCAGGCGAGTCCCCCAGGCAGCCGCGGTCCCTGCGTTTGCCCCCACTGCACAGCGCCCTCTGGATTTGAATGTCCGCGTGTGTCACCTTGATGCCTGCCCTCACGATCCTGCCCCCCAGTCGCGAGTAGCTGCTGTTTCCTGCTCCCCGTTCACACACGAAGAAACGGACCCGCAGCAACATCATAACGAAGAGGCCTGAGGTCCCGCGGAGGCAGGACGCCAGCCGGACCCTCTCCCCAGGGCTGGCATGTTGCACCTGCTGCCCGGGTGAACAGGCATCCTGTGCCCTGACCCCCTCCCGGCCCTTCCAGGGGGCCCCGTCTACACCAGAGGCCCCTCCACTTCAGCACACGAGCCTCCGGCAAAGACCCACCCACTCCCTCCCTGGCACCTGCCTGCTCCGGGCCCCCCTGCCCGCCCCCCCCCTCCCCGCAAGGCTCCTGCAGCCCTGAGGGCAAAATGCTGTTTTGGGCAAGACTTTACGCCCACAGCCAGAGTTCATGCACACGGCAGACGCTCAATAAACCCTGAGAGGAAGGGGATTAATCAGCACAGAACTTTTACCAAACTACAAGCGGCCTCCATGAGGGAAAGGAACTAGAATTTAGACCCACGGCGCGGCTGGCGGTAGCCGGCCAAGGAGCCGCGCCAGGGCAGAGACTGGAGGTTGGGGGAAGCGGGCCAGGAAGTCCGGGGTCCCCTCCCCATCCACCCCCAGCCCCCCAGCTGCCAGTGTGACCAGGCGTCCGCCCGGAGTCAGGAAGGAGACCAGCCAGAGGTGACAATAGGGCTCCTGTGCGCGGGCTGAGGGGGCGGGGACGCAGGCAAATGAGGGGCGCAGATATAGAGGCGCGTGGGCGAGGGCCCCTGCCCCCCCCTGGGTGCGGGCCATGATGGAGGGCGGCCTGAGGCAGCCGGGCCGAGCGAAGGGCCCCGAAGAGGCAGACGACAGCCAGGCCCGGGCCAAGCTGCAGCAGCTGGCCTCGACGTGGTTCATGGAGACGCAGGCGCCCCTCGTTCTGCACGACGGAGCCCTGCCCCCCTGGTTTCACGGGTTCATCAGCCGCAAGTAAGGCTCCCCGTCCAAACGCCCAGCCAGGCCCACGGCCCCTCGGGGCCACGAGAGTGGCCTGGGGGCCCTGGGACAGGCCTGCCTCCTGCGTCCTCCCTGGGCAGGCGGGGGCGGACTGAGGCGCGCCGGGTTCTCTGGGCGCCGCTCCTGGGGGCAGGGTGGGGGCACGCGGGCCCCCAATCTGACTGTGAGGACAGGCAGGCGCAGGGTGAGAGCAGACCCGCCCTGGAGAACCGGGCGGGAGACCGGGGACCATGTCACCTACCGCCCAAATCACAACACGGCTCACGAGGAGGCTGACGGGGCCGTTTGGGGTGGGAGTCGCCCTGCAAACCCGGAATCAAGGCTGCGACCTGGGGCTTTGCTTGGTGATTAGGCCGGAGCTGCCGGTGTCCGCGCAGGAGACGAAGGAAGGGCAGATCCCGCCGGGCCCTCCCGCAGCAGGTGCCGGCCGCGGGCCTGGGCCAGCAGCGCTCAGGGGGCCCTGCACTCGGCTCAGCCCCCTGCTGTCCCCGTCTTGAAATGCTTAGTTTTTGAGGAAGGGGCTCCACACTTTCTTTTTAAAATTTTTTTTAACGTTAATTCATTTTTGAGAGAGAGACAGAGCGTGAGCAGGGGAGGGGCAGAGAGAGAGGGAGACACAGAATCCGAAGCAGCTCCAGGCTCCGAGCTGTCAGCACAGAGCCCGACGCGGGGCTCGAACCCACGAACCGGGAGGTCATGACCTGAGCTGAAGCCGGATGCACTACGAGCTGGGCCCCCGGCGCCCTGGGGCTCTGCATTTCCTTTAGTTCTGGGCTGTGCAAAATCTGCAGTCGCCCCCACAGAGCAGGCGGTCAGTATTTGGTGAACAAGTGGTCTACGTACTGCCAGACCTGAAGATAGCCAGAATTTTCCACCGTGTCTGCAAGTGCTTGGCACCGTTCAGAAATACCCATAGCTGCCTAGGGCTGGACGGGTCATGCAGGGGAGACGAGAACCTAGGGGCTGCTGTTGTGGCCAGGTTCCAGACAGAACGCCCCCCCCTGCAGAAACGTCTTGTGTGGTGCACAACGTGCGCAGCTGTGCGCAGTGGTCCTGTGGCAGGGAGCCCCCCAAACCGGAGCGCCCCTAGCTGTATGGATTCACCCTTACCACAGAGCTACTCAGGTGGAGAGCGGTGGCCAGGGCTGGGGGCTACTATCGTGCCTGACAGTGAGGCTGCCGTGGAGGGTGGGGCGTGGAGCGGGGGCGCCAGACTCCAGCCCGGCCCAGGAGGGAGCCCCGAGTCTGCCTGGCTGAGCCTGGACAGGCCTGTCCCAGCCGAAGGTCTGAGGGTCCTCTAAGAGGCTGGAGGCGCGTGGCCGGCAGGGGCTCGGAGGCAGGTCGGGGTCCGCTGGCTGGGGGCGCGGGCCCCCCTTACCTGCATGTGCTCTGCCCAGGCAGACGGAGCAGCTGCTTGGGGACAAGGCCGTCGGCTCCTTCCTCATCCGCCTCAGCGACCGGGCCACCGCCTACATCTTGTCCTACAGGTAGGAGAGGAGGCGGCCTGCGAGGCCCGCAGGGAACCACAGGGAACCCCACGCCCGCCCGTCACAGGCTCAGCAGCAGGGGCCCAGGCCGAAGCCCCAGCCTTCAAGGCAGTGGGGGGCAGGCTGAGGAGGGCTTCCCGGAAGTGAGCTCTGCGCCCGGGGCAGAGAAGGAGGAAGTGCCATCGGCCCAGGAGAAAAGGTCGGGAGGGCTTTTCCAGCAGACGGGACCGCGCGGGCGAAGGTACCGAGGCTCGGGAGCCGGGGGCGGGGCACAGGGCGCGGGCTCGTGCGGAGGGCAGCCTGCGCAGGACGGCCATCAGGTCAGACGGGCAGCCTGTGGGGGGAGGCCCGTGTGTCCCGTGAAATGACGAGGGCTGGGCTACGGTTCAGGAGATGGTGACGTCAGGCCCAGTCCGCAGGGGAGGCTGGGTGGGGAAGGCCAAGGGAGAGAAGTCTCCCGCCATCAGGAAGGGAGGCCAGGGCTCCAGTCAGAGGCCTGGGGTCAGATTCAAAATGACCACTGCTCAGACCGCCAGGCTTCAGATCCTGACCTCGAGCCCCCAAAACACACGTACAAGGATGTCCTCGGCAGCTGCGTTTACAGCGCCCCCAATCTGGAAATGACCTAAACGCCCACCCACAGGATGGGTGAAGGTGGACCTTCCGCTCAGGGGAACAGCACACAGCAGGGGGGAGAAGCATAGTCCGCGTGGACGCCGGTCAGTCTCAGAGATGGTGCTGAGCCAGAGAAGCCAGACGCAGGGACACACTGATTCCGCGTACGGGCAGCTGCGTGACCAGGAAGCCCGGCTCGGGAGGGGGCGGGAGGGGGCAGGAGGGGCTGGAAGTGACAGGAGGGGGCGGGAGGGGCTGGAAGTGACAGGAGGGGGCAGGAGCGGGCGGGAGGGGGCGGGAGGGGTCTCTGGAGAGCTGGGCATGGTTCCGGTTCTGCTCCGGGTGCTGGTCCCGCGGGAGGGTCCGCCTGTGGAGACCGTCCCTGTGCGCAGTTGGGGCGCATGCGTGTCACGGCAGAATTATTCTTCCCTGAAGGAGGACGGTGAGGGGCAGGATTTTACAGGCTGGATTGGGGGTGGGGGCAGCCCCATCTTTACAGCAGGACGGGGGGGCAGTGAGGCACAGTGAGCACTGTGATACTTTGTCCGTTAAGGACCTTTGGTGTTGATTTGGATTTTCTAAAATGTTGCCTCAGTGGTTATTCTGACTACGAAGCTTCGTGGTGACCCTGTAAATTCTGCACCCCAGTGAGTGCCACCCCGGCTGCAGCAGCCCCAGGCACCCCCAGGAATGCCCACCCTGTGCAACCACCTGCCAGGCTGGGCAGTCTGTGCTGGAGCCCCTGCCCTGCGCCCTCCGGGATGGCAGCCCCTACCCCTGCCCTGCACCGTTGTCTTGCCTCCTCCCAGCTGGCAGTCCCCCACCCCTGCCCCCCACCCCTGCCCTGCACCCTCTGGGCCACAGCCCCCCACCCCTGCCCTGCACCCCTGCCCCATGCCCTCTGGGCTGCAGCGCCTACCCCCCTCTCACCAGCCCTCCCTCCTGCCCCCGCTGCAGCACCCCCTGCCCCATGCCCTCCGGGCAGCCGCCCGTGCCTAGCACCCTCTGGGCCGCAGCCCCTCCCCTCCCCGCCCCCTCCGGCCGCAGCCCCTCCCCCACTCCGCCCCCTCCAGTCGCAACCCCCCCCGCCCCCGCCCGCAGCCCCAGGCCGCGTGTCCTTGTGTTGCAGGGGCAGTGACCGCTGTCGTCACTTTGTCATCAACCAGCTCCAAGACCGGCGCTACCTCGTCTCGGGGGACACGTGCAGCCACGGCTCGCTGGCCGAGCTTGTGCGCCATTACCAGGAGGTGCAGCTTGAGCCTTTTGGGGAGACCCTGTCTGCTGCCTGCCCCCGGGTACGCACCCCTCTCCTCCAGAGTGGGGGTGGCGGGGCAGGGTGCCCAGGCCTCGCGTGTCCACTCAGTGCTGGCTCGTGGCCCCTCTTCGGAAAGGGGGACCGAGGCAGCATCTCCCTGAGGTCAGGGACCTGGTGGGCACGTGGCACGGCCTGGCAGGCGGCCGGAAGGGGGGTGCTGACCACACGCCTGCTGTGCCCCCGCCGCCCCAGCCAGAGGCCAGCGATCTGTACGACGCCATCACCCCGGGCCTGGAAGCCCCACCTGCCCGGGCACCCACCCCGGGGGGCCCCGACGAGGCTGCCGGCCGCGGGCCCCGTCCACAGCCGCAGGTGTCCTTCCTGCACGCAAAGAAGAGCCTGGATGCCAGTTCCGGCAGCTTCTCTGAGGACGAATGGTTGGCGGTGAGGACGGTTCTGGGCCCGGTGGGTCGGGTCTGTGCCTGCGCCCCCAGGTCCAGCCCTCGGGCTGTGGGGCGTGAGATCCAGGCCCAGAGAGGTGCGGGCTCACCTATGCCAGGCCTCCCTCTGGCCCGCGGGGTGTGCTCAAGCCTTGGCTGGGCCTTTCTAACTGTGCGCCTCAGTTTACCATTCCTAAGCTTCCTCTGAGGCTTGAGTGAGAAAATGAGTAAGAAATGCCTGAAAGGAGCCCCCTGGGGGCTCAGTCGGCTGAGCGTCCAATTTAGGCTCAGGTCATGACCTCACAGTTCATGGTTTTGAGCCCCACGTCTGCCTCTGCACTGTCTGTGCGGAGCCTATTTGGGGTCCTTTTTATCTCTCTCTGCCCATCTCCACCTCAAAAATATTTTTTTAATGTTTATTTTTGAGAGAGAGACAGAGCGCGAGCAGGGGAGGGGCAGAGAGAGGGAGACACAGAATCTGAAGCAGCTCCAGGCTCCGAGCTGTCAGCACAGAGCCTGACGCGGGGCTCAAACTCACTAACTGCGAGATCATGACCTGAGCCGACGTTAGAAGCTTAACCGACTGAGCCACTCAGGTGCCCCAAAATAAATACTTTAAAAAACTTATATATAAAAAAAATGGCTGAAACTTCCTCTAAAGGGTAGGTGAGATGCCCATGAGTTGCTACTTTCCCTCCACCTCACCTCCTGAGAGGGGCGCAGGGAGGGTTTCCTCCTCCACAGCAGGTCACAGCACGCCCCAGGCTGGAGGCCTTCCCCAGGGCCCGCGGGGGCCTCAGCGGGGCTCCTGACACCCCCCCTTCTCAGTCTTCTCCAGCCTCACTGGCTGTGGACCTGCCCTGATCACGCCAACCTCGCTCCCACCTCGGGGCCTTTGCACTTGCCGGGCCCCGGCCGCAGTGCCCTTCCCGCACATGTCTGCATGGCTTGCGCTCCATTCTCCACTTGCATGTCACCTCTCCAGAAAGACCCCTGAGGCTGCAGCAAATGCCCCTTCACACCCGTCATTCTGTCTGTCTTGTCACCCTGCTTTGCTCTTCTCCATCCCGCGATCCTGACCTGACAGTCGATCACCTCGTGGCCTCTGATCACGTACTGGTCACGTTCAATGACGTAACAGAGTGGGCTGTTGCCAGTCTCCCTGCTGAGAACGGGAACCCACTCACCACTCAGTCCTCGGCACCCGGGACGCTGCACGGCACACGGTTTATGCAGCAAACATGTGTGGAATAAATACACAAACGACGAACTCGGGGTGGTCTGTTCTGAGGGAAGGGGAGCAGCGAGTGGGTGGGCTCGGGGGGCTCTGGAGGGAGGACAGCCCAGGACGCACGTGCATGCTGACAGCAGGCCTCGAATGCCAAGGTAGAGACCAGACTCAGGAGCGTGGGGTCCGGCAGGGACCTGAATGTCAGTAAGTGCTGACACGTAGCAGGTAAACTGAGGCAGTGCGGGGGTCTCAGTTTGTCCAAGACAGCTTCCGTTTACCCGAGGGCATCTCAGCCACGAGGCCACGTGCAAGAGGTCCCGTTTCCGTCCGCTCAGGTCCCTGTCGGGGTGCCTCCCCTCCCCGAGAGAAGTGCCTTCCTTCTGAGCCAGTCTTTTGGAAGCTCCAGCGACATCCTCTACTCGGACCTGAGGAAGGTGACCCAGGCGCGGCCAGGCCTGGGCGTGGAGCTGTCCGGCAGACACGGCCCGGGCGCCGCTGGCAGCCGGGCTGGCTCCCCAGGCAAGGAGGCCCTGAGGAGACTCTCGGATGGAGGCCAGAACAGGCCTGATGGCCCAGGGCCTGCCTTCTCTGGGGTGAGCCCGGACCGGGGCCACCTCCTGGCCCCCGCCCCTGAGGCCCCAGGACCCTCCGCCGCCTCCTGGAGCCAGGCGTCTCCAAAGCTGAGCCCCGGGGCTCGGCCCAGCTCCCAGGGCGCGCCTGCAGACACGTATGAGCTGCTGCAGACGGCGGGCGGCCCACCAGAGCCCGGGGACGCGCCACAGCACGAAGGCAGTGGCTGCGCACAGGCCCCCATCTGCTGGGGCAGCTCAGCCAGTGCCCCGTCCCGCGAGCTGCCGCCACCCACAGACTGCGGCTACGAGAGCGCCTCGGGGCCCCCCGGGTCCAGGAACACCTACGAACAAATCCCAGCGGCCAGGAGCAGGGAGACTGGGCGGACACGAAAGGTGGGCCCCGCGGTGGGAGGGGCGGCCGCCAGCGGGTGACAGGGACCCTCGTGCATGAGCAGCTCAGGTCGCTGCTACTGCCCAGAGGGGCCCAGAGATTTCCCAGCTCCATCATATGCTTGCAGGTGCTTGGGGGGGGGGTCTCTGGGCCCAAGGGGTCTTCGTTTGCGGACCAGCTTTCCTGTCCAGGCCGCTGCTGGGGTCTCAGAGCCGGTGACAGGTGCCCTGAGGCTGCAGGTCACACTTGCCTCGGCCCCATCACAGCTCAGCCACTCCCCAGCCACACGGCTTTGAGCACAGCAGTTTCTCTGGCAGGAAACTAGCAAAGAGTATGTCCCAAGTTCTGCAATCACCCCGTTTATCTGAAACTCAAGCTTAACTGGGCACCCTGTGTGCTCATTCAGCAACCCTGCCCGGGGCCTCCATTCCTTCATCTGTGGGACAGCCTGGTCCTGGTTGTGACCAGCGTCTCTGCCCAGAGATCACACTAGACGCGGTCATGTGCTGAGGACACGGCCCAGACACGGCCGAACGCAGCTGTCCTTTCCGAGGGTCTGACAGGAAGAGAACGGGGAGTGGAGTCAGGAGGGCGGGGTGGAGGGCAGGGGGAGCTGGTGAGGGGCTCCCGTGGGCAGAGGGCCTCAGCCCCAACACATTCTGCCTACACCGCGGGCCGGCCTCGGACCCCAGGCACGTGCAGCTGCTCCGGCCTGGGCAGCGAAGGCTGGGTTCCCAGCCCAAGGGCCTCACAGGACTCTCCACCAGCAGCTCTGCCAGTGGGGGGGGGGGGGGG